AAAAAAAAAAAAAAACACTGGAAACACCAGTTGGCGATGTCAGTACTAAGTCAGCCCTAGAAGAACACTTCTCCAATAAGTTTCACTTTTAGGTTTTAAAACTATTAGGCTTTTTTATCTTGGTTCATTTTTAGCAGTTACAAACCTAAGAAGGCTCTATCTACATTTATTGATTGTAGTTTCTCACATTAAACACCTTTTGGATGGTTTAGGAACCTTGGCTATTAGCTTTAAATTCATGTGCCACAAAATGGCCTTTTGTTCAACAATAGATCACATATATGATATTGGTCCCCTAAGATTACATTACCTACAGATCATAGTTTGTATAAGTACATGTTATGATGCTCATACAATGACAAAAGCACCTAACAATTCATTTCAGGGAATGTATCTTCTCATTAAGCAACACATGGCTGTATTTGTATTTGCCTTACCTAAAGATCTTCAGCTTTCCATAATAAAATAGGTTATTTTTGAATAGTGTTAATTTTAGATAGTTCTTAATATTATAGTGTCAAGAACTATGAAGCTCTTTTTACTCTACTTGCCACTAACAAGTGAGCTTGCCTTAGCTTCACAGATGCTGGTAGAAGACACATGACTCTCAGGTCTGAGACAAAGGACAGTTTATTGTGAAAGCAGTAGACATAGGAAGATAGTAGTATTTTTATTCTAGTTTTATGAGCCTCAATTTCCACAGGGCAGTGTAAAGAGCGCCAGATGAGTCCTGTAAACTGTGCAGTAGAAGCCTAAATTTAGGGAAGTGGCTCTTTCATGGGCCAGTACACCTGCCCTTTGCTGAACAGACAAACTTTTTTGAAAAGAACATTTCAAGTGCCTCGCCTTCAAGAAGCTCAGAAAGAGGAGAAATGTCTTCCTATTATATCAACCTCTCACTTCTACACTATTTTGCCTTCTGGCAAATTTATCCATGAACACAACACTTGCTGGTGACTGATCAATATGGATGACATAGACTGGAACCAAATCTACTTAGTTTGTCTCATAATACATGATTCACTTTGGTATCAAGAGCCACAGTATTGGGGGAAGTTGCTAATTCAAAGTATAGCAACAATATTGTTATAAGTTAGATAAAGAATGTCCCCCAAAGGCCTCATGTGCTCATAGGTGGGGCTGTGGAAGGTGACTGGATCACGGAGCTCTACTCAGCAGTGGAAACATGGACTAGTGAATTCAGCAGCTGAGTGTGCTGCCGGAAAGGTGGAACCTCTCTAGCAGAAGTGGGTCACTTGTCGTGTGACCTGGAAGGGTATATCTCCCCTCCCAGCTTCTTCCTGCTCTCTCTGCTTCCCAGCCGCCATGACATGAGCAGCTTTAATCTGCAGCAAGACCTTCCACCATGCCGTTTCTCTCATGGAGCCAGCTGACCATGGACTGAAAACATGAGCCAAAAAAAAAAAAACTCCTCTTTCTTCGTGGGTGTCAGGTATTATGTCCCAGCAATAAGAATGTGACTGAGACAAACACTATCACCTGAAAATATATCACCAGTGATGAGGCAACATGACAGCCCTGAAAGGGGGCCAAAGATCCTATGTAGCTGGCCTATCAGGAGGGGGAAGGGGGCTCCACGCCCCATAATGTGCTTCCTTCACTGTGAGACAATCAAGTCAACACTGGCAGGAGTCACAGACAGCATGCAGTGATACCGGCTTTGCATCAGAAACAAAGCACAGGTGGATGTTTTACTATGCCTGGTACAATGATGGAAAAGAGAGCAAAGCTGGGAATCTGGGAAGTACGGATTGGATCAGCAGCTTTGTTTGCAAAATTCTCAGTCTAAAAAAGGTGTCTCTAATTTGTTAGTATAATCTGTTAGTTACCATTGGCAACAACCCAGGAGTCAGTAAAAGTTCAACACTTCCTCGAGGAATTCTGGCCAAAAGATTCCAAACAGCCTTAGGTCTGTCCGCTGGAAGCAAAATTACACAGATACCACACTCAAAGGGGTCATGTGGACTGTGATGTCATATAGACAGTGAGCAAGCATGTCACAGAATGCATACAGCTTCTGAAGCAATTGGCTGGTCTGGGCCTTTTTCAAAGGCTGCTGACTTGCCAGTTAGCTGACACAAAAGGCCAAGCTGAAAGCCTGTATTTTTATACCTAGAGTCCATTTATTTTTCTTTTTTCAGGCAAAGAGTGAAAAAAGCAGTTTTTCCTTGCAGAACTAAGTATCACCTATGAGGTCCCGCAAAACTTTTCCTTGTGCAAGAATATCACAAGTACACTCTTCACACATTTGCAAATATAAAAATAACAACAGAACATTGAACTGACCCTACCCCTTGAAATTGTATTAGCGCCTCTTCACAATCTGCAATAGGAAGTGAAGAGTACACTAAGAAAAAAGCAGAAATCATCTATAATTCACAAATGATACTGTCAATATTAACACCTTCCTACTTCATTTGGTATATGTATGTTCATACCTAATAATTAAGGTTGTACTGTGCTTAGTTTATCACACAGTATATCAAGCACCTTCCTGTCATCAAAAATTCTTGATATTATGTACATACCAGACTGTTTAACTATGCCATTAATATTGCATATTCTAGTTATTTTCAAAAATTTTTATAAATAACATAAATGTAAGAAATAGTTTAAGATTTTAACATTTTAAACATGGAGTAAAACATGAATCTAACATCATTCCCCCCAAAAAAAAATATTTTTTCTTAATTATTTTCTATTTCTTTTTGAAGCTTCTTGCATTAAACTCATTTTTACATATAAACACACGCCCATCTATAGCCATCTGCTTTCTGAAGTATGCCTAGAATAAAGTTTTATGCCTGTGCAGTAGGAAGGGTTTCTGCTCCCAGATGAGAATGAAAATGAAAATGTCTTGAAGTCCACTGAATGACTTAATTATCTCACTCAAATAACATTCCACTTTCCCTGAAGCCTATACCAATATCCTAAGTAGTTTCTCATCTACCACTTGCCTATTTCTTCTCTCACTTATCTTCAAGAGAGGCTCCAATTGGACAGTACCATGCATGCCAGCAAATCTAGATGCTACTATGTTGCATGTGGCACGTTTACTAATTATGCCAAGTTCTGAGATGTTCGTGATCAATATTTCAATCCAGAAGAAATGCAAGAGAAACAGTCCTGTTTATGCCATAGGTATCTGAATTATAGCCTCTCCTTCACATACCTGAACCCAAAAATGGATTTTTATCTAACCTACTCCAAGCCATCTAAGAGTGTCAATACTGAAAACATGTCATTTGTGTGACATTCCATAGTACCAACAAACTTCTCCAGATGAAACTGTTGTTAATTCTGGAGTCAAGATTACAAACATCAAGCCACATGAAGCAGCCTGAGCTACAATGAACCAGACACAGAAAAACAAGATAAAGATGAAAAATAATATATCCTTCACTTGGGTACTTAGAGAAAAAGGTAATTCCTCTGTTTGAAGGAATGAATCTCTGTCTAGTCACTGACATGATTTTTTTTTTCATGCTTAAGTCTTTTATACACAATAAGGACAAAGACAAAGCCATGAAAATCTTTAAAATGAAAATTCTGATGTTCTCTCTGCTGGCTCCTACACAATCATATTAATTCAAGTGTACTTATGTCTTTATACTTCTCATTTTTACGTTTATCCAACCATTATGGTAATCTTGATTTCACTTATTCCATTATTAGTTCCTCTGCTAAATAACTCTATTTTAGGTAAGTATATTGCTTAGGATTCTATGTTGAAGATGAACACAAATGAAATCAATGTTTTCTCTTACCGTTTCCCTCGTGGATAATGTCGCACATATTCTCCAACATCATGAGCAGCAACAGCTAAGACTTGTGGATCATCTGATACCTCCAGAAGTTTTGTCAAGATTCTGAAATGAATTTAACCCAAAAAGATAAACTCTCATTTTTTACTACAGAGTACAACAGAGCATAGGTATTATATCCTTCTCAAAGCAGATGCTTATATTTTTTTGAAGATTTCATTGTGAGCAGTAGTGAAATATTTCAAACCTTCACACTTATATAACATGTTATTTGCAGATTCGTGATGCATAGCATGCACAATTCCCCAAATATCAGGGACTTTCTCTAAAGAAAAACTAGAATATAAGCAAAAGTTATTTTAAAGTAAAGACTATCAGGGGATTTTTGCAAATTATATTTGTAAATAAATTACCTAAACCAGAGGGCCTATTGTTAGTACCGAAACAAATTCCTTTCAATACCCAATGACCAAAATGGTATACTTGAGCACCAAGCACACACATGACCCCCTTTTCTTTTCCACACTCTAACAAAAAACTAGAATAGATGCTTCTCAAATTAAGATGAAATCCATTATGGCAAGTAAATGTTTCTTAGAAGATTGCAACCCAAACCCACCACTCTGACTCCCTTGCCCTCCTAACACTTTCCCCAGTGCCAAAACAGAGTAAAGTTTCCACTGAAGCCTGATGGGTACTTCTCAGAACAGGAGAAAGGGACCAACAGCAGAGGAGGCCCCTTCTGCCAAGCTTTCACCACAATGGAGAGGTGACATCCACCAGGGGTTGTGCATGTCCTTCAGAGTGAAGGGGTAAAGAAATGACACAGTTTAGAAACCAAGAAACTAAGAAAAAATGGCCTTCCTGTCCAAGGAACAGATAATTCCTATGTTATTTAAACTTCTCAAGGTCCCAAAAGATGAAAAACTTCCCAACTCATTCAACAAGCAGAGCATATCTGTGATAACCAATCAGAATGAGTATTTTTATTTAGACAGAAGACTAACCTATAAAAACAACTGCTTTCTAATATGCTAGCAATCATTATTTGTTCAGAAGTAGATAAATAAAATCCTTAATAAATTAGCAAAGTGAACACAGTAGTATACTGAGAGGACATAATCTATTCAGTTCTCAGTTCACATGTCCGTTCTTGTTCAAGAGACCTATTACTCTAAGACAAGACCCTCTATCATTCTCTTTTGCTACTTCACTTCTCTTCATAGTACTAATTGCCATCTGCCATTATATTCTCTTTTTCCTTGACTATATAGTTAGTCTTTACCCAGCACAATGTAAAGTTAATAAGAATGACTGTTTTATTTGCCATTGCATCTGTAACACCTAGACTAGTACTGATTAAACAGATGATTAAAGAAAAAACACACTGAAATAAATGAATAAAGAATTTAAAGGATAAACTGATGAGTCAGCTGGGAAAACCAATTCTGATAACTCTGGATGGAATTTAAAATACAGAGATACAATTCTATTTCCAGGAATCTTTTCTACAGAAATAGTTCACATTTCCACAAAGATATGCATGCAAATTGTCTTTTAACATGACTAACACAGTCATTTTAAGTGACTCCAAGTCACAGTAGGTAAAAAAGACAAGTAACGGACTAATACACTTAGTGTAATGAACATATTAAAAAATTGTATAAAAATGTGGGTGAGATTTACCTACCATCAAAAGAACCCCAGACTCTACTGCTTACTGATTCCAGATCCCACTGGAAAGAGTCAAAGGTAGAACAGCAGTATAAAAAAAATTAAAATAAAAAACTTTTTATTTCAGTTCTGTATGCCTTTAAGAGTGCTTGGAATATTTTGACCAGCTGTTTTGATATAATCTGGAATTCTAGGCTTTGGCAATACATATATTTAAAAAAGATATTTCTTATTTTTACCAAAATGGTCAATATATTACTATCCCTTAGAATTGCTAAATTAAATTTTAAATATTTAATTAAAAAACTGAAACAATTTGTGTTTGCATACAATCCATTTATAAAATGTCTTATTTCTTAAAATCTTTATTAAGAAATAACTTAAATGACAACTGTCTTTGCCTTTGTTAGTGCATTAAAGCACTGAAGCAAATACCAATAATAAAACTCTTCATTTTGTTCAAAACTTATCTGAATCTATGAAACTTAATTTCTTAATTACATATATTTGGCAGTCTACTAAAGATTAAAATCTCCCTCCCTACCTTTTCCTATCACCACCTCAGCCTGTCAACTAGCTGAAATTTTACCCATAAAGGAATCATTTCATTTTTGGCAATTATACATCTTCTATCTTCTGACTTAACAGGGAAATTTGAATCTCCAAGTTAGAGAGGAGAAAGGAATAACGACTATAATATATATAACAAGTTTCAAACTCTTGTGTAAATATATTCTTCACAAGCCATAAATGCAAAATGAGACCAGAGAAGTTAGTTAATATGTCTCAAAACAAGCAAAACCAGGGATTGAGCACAGTGGTTCTGCCACCTACTTCACAATCAGAAGGTCCTGAGTTCAATCCCTGGTACAAAAACAAACAAGCAAGCAAATGTTACAACTGAAATTTGATTATTGGCTGACTCTAGCTACATAACTTCAGCACAAGAAAATTCAACTCAAGCACATGAAAAACTGTAAGACATATATTCAATTTTCCATACTTATTTTTTTAATTTTATTAGTATTTGTGTAGTACATAATGCTTACATTTCGTGGGGGAAATTGGTACAGGTACATAATACATTGTGATTCCTTTTTTTCATCCCTTTTCCCTTCCTTCCCTTCCTTATTTACTCATCTTTTGATCCCTCTTACCATGTGGAACTGACTGAGGGCATTCATCTGGAAGTGTTTCTAAACAAAGGGGAGAAAATAAATAGCCAATAAAGTATGGCATTGTACTCTGGCCAACTCTGTAGTTAGATCAAATGTGAATCCAAATCTGTCATCTGTTAGGAAGAAAGGGGCTAAAGGTGTAGGGAAAGTGGGAAGGGTAGGGGAAAGCAAATAAGGAACAAGAAAAAAATGTGAGAAAATGAAAAGATGGAAATAAAATGTTTGTAAAGGGGGAGTGAGGAGGGGTGAAGGGAGGGCAGGGACAAGGGGAAAAATGAGAACCAAGACCTGTCATGTAAAGGTACATGATCCCAATAATGAATGTAACTGTACTGTATACCTAAAAAGTACCAGTAAACTCATGAGGAAAAAAAAGAAAATTTTGATATTATCTGAGGTTCACTTTTCTAGTATCCTTGTTACGAGCTCCTAAAATGTTATTTTCTTGTTGTGACTGAAAATGCAATCTACTTATATAGAAAAAATTAAGACAATATTTTCACATTGTATTTTGCTATGAAAAAAAAGAAATTGTCTGCCTAAAACTTTGCGCTTGTCCCTTCTTGTAGAGTTTTCCCTTGGTTTTATGAACTTGTTTGCTCTCTAAGCTTTGCTTTTCTCTTAACTATCATCTCCATGGTTTCTTATATGTCAAAATATTTCCTTATTCAAAATACATATTTTAAAACTATAACATACAGTCTACAAGACATTTTCTGAATACTACTGCACTCAAAAGTGACAGAGGAAAAATAAATGTGTATCATCCATTTGCCAAGTTTGGAATTACCCAGAAATAGGTCATAGTCTGTCTGACACAAATGTGGTTCTTCACAGACTAAAAGGCCAACATGCACTGCTTTTTAAATAGCAAAATTAAAGCCTCCATTTCTATTTTATCTATTTGATGGGCAGCAGAAGTATGTCTCTCTACTACAGGTAGCACACCTGATAGCACTCGCCTCCTCATCCACCCACTTGAATTTAGGGAACACCCCATGGCCAACCTTCCTTCCAATGTTCTAAGAAAAACAAAAATAAAACTAAAGGGCCTAGGATTTAGCTCAGTGGTTCAGCCCCCGCCTCAAGATCCTGAGTTTGCGTCCCAGTACAAAAAAAAAAAAAAGAAAAAACACTAAAAATGACCCTGGAAACTCTAAAGCTCTAGGACAGAACACATGCGAATTAGATCTTGTGGCCTGACCTTCAGTATTCTTTGCCCTACTGGAACCTCACTAAAGGTTCATACATATGGACTCTAGTTTGTGTATATAATTTCATCAGAGTGAACTCTGGGACTCACATGCATGTTAAAAATCCCTGAGATGACTCAATCATTCCTGTCAATCATGGACAGAGACCCAGTGACAGGCACTTGGGCTGGGGTGCATATCCAAAAGACTGATTTATCTGCAGGTGCTTTTTATTTCCATGTCACCAAAACACCACTTCTCTGTTAATGCCACCTTTTTTGTTTCTGTTGGCACAGATCTGCCCTGAGCACATCTTTCCATCAGCTACAAGAAATATAGCTGCTTTTGTTTTTACCACTGTGTGGGCACTTGCAGCTCTTTGCTCATCATATACAACAGCCTGGAATCTATCAGTCGAATCCACTACACAGTATCCACCTCCTGTAGGAATCTCATGCAGGTAATTTATAAGAATAAAACAATTTCAAATTTTTCATCTTCAAACACAAAATAAAACTACACCATAATAAACAGTTTCTAGTTATTCAGAAAAAATATGAAGGGTCATATAAAGGTAAAAAGGAGTAATCTGAAGGAGCCAAAAAAATTAAAACCGAATGCCATAAAACAAAATGTACTATGAAAAAGCTACCATTATGTGTGTCACAATAAAGACACAGGTGATGCTTCAGCAGTAATTTATAAAAAGCTCCCCTCCATTATATTCAATTTTTCCAAAGACCACATTTTAAAAATACTCAACTTTTTATTATTGTTAAAAACTCAAAGTGACAAGGCAATGCTGAAAGATAATCTATTATTTTCATTTCCTATTCGCCATCAGTACTGCCACTGTCTATCAGCCATTCACTTTAGCTTGTCACCCTCTGTTTAAATAATAATGTATCTTTATTATCAAAAAAACATAAAAAATAAAATCTAAACAACAGAGGTATGTCTAAAAATGTTCCAACAGACACAAGTATTTACCTCTGCTTATATAGGTATCTCACTTAAAAGTAAAAATAATTTTAAAAGCATGAACCCATAAGGAAAGACAAAATGAGAAATAAAACAAAAATAACAAAATATTAGATTAGGAAGTCAGAGGTATCATGCCTGTGACCTGAGTGAGACCCTCCCAGCAAACATGCAGCACGCCACAAATGACAGGCTATCACTAAGGGCCATACTGACCTCAGTAAACAGAACAAATGGCCATAAAGCAAATTTAGGAAAGGACATACAACCTTCACGGCATCAAAAAGTCCAGTATTATCTGCACACCTGCACTGACCATCCTTGGAGCTCTGACCCCAAACCCTATAAAAACTTAACTCTCCTCTGGCCAAGCTGCTGAAATCATTTATAATCTCAGCCCTGCCTGCAATTAGGCAGAATAAATTTAATAAGCAAGCTTTAATGCTCACACAAAGCCTGTGTCCTGGTAGTATCTCATGACTGTGCTGTGTGTGCTGTTTGTAACAACAGGAACAAATGTTAAATAATTTGAGAAAAAGTATCAAGCTGACCAAGAAGTAAGATGAGGAGCAAATCAATTTACTACACAGGATAATTTATAGCAGTACTTCCAAATATTGTCCTAAAACTGTTGTCAAAATGACAGACATTAGACACACATGTGGGTATAGTTACAGTGATTAAAATTAAGTTTAAAAATTCAATTTCTTGGTCCTTCAAAAATCTCTTGTTATCAGAGGTGAGGCTTTTAGAAGGCGATTGGATCATGGAGATGCTATTCACCAGTTCACAGATGAATGTGCTATTAGAAGACTGGCTTGGTAGGAAGAGGCTAGTCACTGAGCGGGTGACCTGCGAGGATACAGAGCATGTCCCCACCACCACCACCAAGAAGTGAGCAGGCTTTCTTCCACCATACTCCCATCATGATGTTTCTGCCTTGGAGCCAGTCAACTATGGACTCAATCCCCTGAAATAGGAGCCAAATTTAATACATTCCTGCCAGCTTGAAACACCAGTGGTACATATATGGCTGTCCCATCAGGCAACTTGTAACACTGGTAGTACAAACAGATATAATCACTTTTATTGGTCTTTTTACTAACCAGATTAATAAAAAGCAACCTGACAGAACAGTCATGCTAGAACCACAGGTGGATCGAGCCACTGGGCAGCAAGATGTATGAACTATGGCCCTGTCATGAACATGTTAAATATCTCCTTTCAATTGTGGGTGTCAGGTATTAGGTCCTAGCAATAGGAAAGCTCACAAATGCAGCCATCGAGAAATACAGATAGAAACTTCAGTGAGATTCTACTACACATCTACTAAGATGTTAAGAATCAAAAGGCCAGATAACAAGACTTAGTAAGGAGGCACAGAAAGCAGAACACACATATTCCTAACAGGACTATAACACTGTGCAGTCACTTCGGAATATAGCCTGACAGTTTCCCAAAGGGCTAAACACAGAGATAGCATATGACGCAGCCATTCCACTCTGAGGTATCTATCTACTCAAGAAAGGAAAATCAAAACATAGGTCCATATATCAACTTGAACAGCAAATATTGTTGGCAGCAACAAGGTAACTAAATGGTAGAAACAATCCAAAGGTCCATGAAAAGATGAGTTAATAAATAAAACATAGTCTTATCTATATAATGGAATATAGTTCAATCATAAAAAGGAATGAAATACTGATAAACGGTACAACACAGTTCAGCTTTGAACATATGGTTAGGTGGAAAGTGAGTCACAAAAAGGACAAATATGTGATTCCATTCATATAAGACTTCAATAACAGGAAAGTTCACAGAGATATAGAGCAGATTTAAACTGGGTAGTCAGATGGATAGAGAAGTCAGAACTAAAGGACATGGGAAGGGATGAAAACGTGCTAAAATTGTGTTGATGGTTATGCAGAACTATGAACATACTACAAACCATTAAATTGTGTAGTACATAAATAATGTCTCACTAAAAAAGAAAAATAGTGGCATGTATTTGGTCACTTTATCATGACAAAGGTAAGCCTATAAAACACTGCAGAAAATATTACTTCCAATAAAAGATGCTGCTTCTATTAGACATTTATGTGGGGAGAAAAGTGAATCTTGAGTAGGAACTTCATGCCTTACTGAAAAATAAACTCCAGATGGACTGGAAATATAAATGTAAGAGGTTAAACAATGAACACTTCTACAAGATAACATAGAAAGTCCTTACTGACTCGGGTAAGCAAAAACTTCTTAACCAAAACACAGCATGCTAGCCTAACCACATTAATTTTGAGGGCTTCTGCTCATCAAAACATCATTAAAGGCACTGTTAAAGAGTGAAATAGAATGAGGCACAGAGAGACAAAATAGTCACCATAAACATATGACAAAAAACTCATGTTCAAAACATAGAACTGCAGACAGGGTTGGTAGCACATGCCTATAATCCTAGCACTTGAAAGGAAAGGGCAAGAAGATTGCTGTGAGTGTGAGGCTACCCTAAGCTACACAGTGAATGTAAGGCCAGACTGGACTACACTGGGAGACCACGTCTCAAAAAAAAAGAGAATACAGAATTCCTGTAAAAATGGAGTCAGGGACCTTGAACAAATACTGCTCTAAGAAAATAATATATCTAAGTGGTCAGAAGCATTGAAAATGCATTCTACTACATTACTGAGCAAAAATAATATGAATAAAATAAAAGAATAACTAAAATACAAAGTAGAAAAAATAAGTATTGGTGAGGATTTGAATAACAGGTATTAAGAATGTAAAGTGGAATTATAACTTACTTTAAGAGTTCATAATTCTTCTCATTTAACCTCACAGCATTTTCTCTCCAAAATTTCTCAGATTTGTGCACAGGACTCCACTCCAACCTTCCAGACTTAAGTTCTGAACTGTATTCATCAAAAGAGCTATAAAATTTTTTAAAGAATTCCAAGTTTACATGAGAATCCAACTTAATCCAAAATTAAGTGACATAAAATATCTTTTGATTTTGTGTGTGTGTGTGTGTGTGTGTGGTACTGGAGATTAAACTCAGGACCTTGAGCTTACAAGGCAGACAGCAGCACCCTGGCCCTCTTCATTGATGATTTGGTTACAAAGACTGACCACCCTCTGTATACTAACAAACTACTCCCAAAGAAAAATTAAACAGTTTAAATACTCTTTAATAAATAATATGAAATTTTATTCAGAGTACTAAGGCCCAACATGCCTATCAAATTTGAATCCTTGGCATGAAATACTAAAATGACCACTTGCTTTCAAAATCTTTACTCTAAATACATGACTGTGTATCAGTTTTAAAAAATAGGGCCAGGGATTTAGCTCAGTGGTTCCACTGCCTGCCTCACAAGTGAAAGGACCCCAGTTCGATCCCTGGTACTGAAATAAATAAATAAAAGATTCTTAGAATCTCTAACATGACACTTGAAATACTACTTGCCAGACCACAAGATATACATGAAGATAAGTAAAATAAGAATATTTTAATATAAAATAGCATATATAAATACTATTATTCTATAATTATCTTAAGTATAATATATCATAAAAACAAAATCAGTACAATGGCCTGGGGTGTAATTCAGTGGTGCTGCGCCGGCCTGGCAAGCACAAGGTCCATCCCTGGTACCGGAAAAAAAAAATCCAGTGCAATATTTTAGCATGTGATTACCAATAATGTAGAAGTCACTTATTAATTGAATTAACAATTAATTAAAAACTAAAATGTGTACATATAACTGCAACGCATTTTAATTAAAAAACCATTCACTATATACATAGTAACTTAATTGTTCAAAGCTTTATAATATAAATTTTTAAATCAGGTAGCCAACAGATAGTGTAAGGACATGCTTAAATTTTCTTTCAAGTAAAAATATAAAACAAGGGCCAGGGATTTAGCTCAGAGGTTCCACTACCTGCCTCGCAAGCACAAGGACCTGAGTTCAAGTCCCAGTAGCCAAAAAAAAAAAAAACACAAGATGTAGCTATTAAATGGCTAAAACAAGATGCAGCCATTAAATATTGAATTGGTAATTCAGAATAACCAGGATATATTGAGTAAGCTAATCATATCCTGTTTGAATGAAGTATTTACTTTAATAAAGAGTCAATGAGTATAAAAATTAAGCTAGTATTTTTAATACTGACATCTTAAATCTTACAACAAAAACAAAGATAAACCAGCCACACCCATCCCATCATCCTATTAAATAGACTGGTGTGAATCTCCCCAAATGAAAGAACACATACATCTAATCAACTGTTACCTTGTAAAAATTTTGACTCAACAGAAGACTTGCACATTTTAGGGAAATCTTTTGTTCATATTTGGCAACCTATTCAAATCTTCGTTAAAAATTATGTAAGTCGGCATGTGCAACTATAATCCTAACTTCTTGGAAGTCTGAAGCAAAAGGATCCCTGGAGCCCAGGAGTTAAAACCAGCATGGGCAAGACAGCAAGAACCTCCCAACCCCATCTGCCAAAACAAGTATGCAGGTCAAACACCCAACAAATACAATATATAAAAATTTTTTAAATAATAATAATATACCTAAGGTCCTGGACACTCTCACCAAGCTTTTCCAAAAGAAATTTGATATCTTCGCTGATATCTTCATCATCATATTTCTGCTGTTCTAAGTTCTCCAACTGTTTCAGAACTTTGCATTGAATCATAGCCAGAGCATATTCTTGACGAGTTTCTCTTTCGGTTGACTTTTCTAAAAAGTTCTGGGATAGACAAAAACATAATTAGATAACACATGTTATGTGATGGTCTCAGATCTCTACACTTCCTTTCATACACTCTCACCTCCTTTGATTCTCAGATTCTAACTATAACTTTTAGGTGAATGGCTTCATTTTGAATCTTTACTCTTTCCTGAGTATCTATCTGTCCCTTGTTAGATGCCTACTTTTACTTACATATTGCTACAGTTTGGGTCTAAAATGTCCCCAAAAGGCATTATGTGTCAAAGGCTTGGTCCCCAGCACATGGCACTATTGGAAGGTGGTGGAACCTATAAGAAATGTCACTTAGTTGGAAGCAGCCAGGTCATTGGATGTATCCCTTCATGGGGATACTGGGACTATAGCCTGATTCCTCCCCCCTACACACACACACACACACACACACACACACACACACACACACACACACACATACACACACACCCAAG